GGGGTGGGGGGGAGAGAGAGAGCGAAAGAAATTCTCCTCACCTACTGGGAACCAGAGATTCTCCTCCAAATCCCAAAGACATGATGCTATAGGTTTCAGAAGCAATGTCTTTTGAACTATGCAAGGCATATTTAGGTAAGTACCACTCTGTTTAAAATGGCACTGTGCAGCCAAAGCCAGAGGAGTATCTGCAATACCTAGGCCTTCAGACAGCTGGTCAAAAGTTCCTGCTACTGAAGTCTGGAGGATGTGGGTGCCTTCACAAATGTTGGTAGTCCAGCAGCTATAGACTTACTACATTCCACAGGCTGCATGCCTGAGCCTTTACTGACTTACCAAACAGCAAACTAGCACAAAACCACAGTTGGCAGCTGCGAGGGGAACATGCTAGGTTCTGGGAACGTCAGCCTGACCAGATGCTCTTTACAGAGGTTTAGAAAAGAAATCAAAGCACGTTTCACGTGAATGTTCAGTGCACAACATTTCTGTGCTGACACATTCCTGTGGCTGTGGGCGGAAGATCCAAACAAAATGATGGTGCTGCTTCTTAGCAGCCATATCATTTCAGTTGCTTTTGAACTCCTGGGTGCTTCTATTTCTCAACAGAAGACTGAGAAACAGTGTTTGCCTCTCAGTAGAAATATCTTTATTTCTCTGTTAAAAAACATGAAATGAAAGTTTCATATTGTGACCACAGCAAGCTAAAAAAACCCAAAGCATGTCCACCACTGTGCTTTAGAGAATTACCCTGATGAGCCACTATTTTAAACAAAACTGCAGATGCTATTTGTCAGCTGGAAGTTGTCGCAGATAATGAGATGTGATGTACAGAATGTAAGATGTACAAAGCCAGAAATTCACCAGTAATTCACTTCCCTTGTATTCTTTATACAAGAAAAAGCAACTCCTAACTCTTTATATTGAAAGGATTCAGTGTTCCAAAGCAATTAATCTAACTGACAAATGCATATGCATGTTCATCTCAATTTCCTACGAACTGGGCTGTGTATATGAACCTCCACAGACCACATGACGAAACATTTTGGGGCTATTTCAGCAACTCCTTCCCATCCTCCTTCCCTCTGTCTCTTTTCTTCTTTGTTAGAGAAGCACATTTGGCATCTTGTAGCATGCTTCCTTTCACTGACACACCGGCTGCTTTTGCAGTGTAATTGTTACTTGTCAGGGTGATTTGTCCACACAGAACTATCCTCAGGGTCAAAACACTACTCATGCATATATACGTAAACTACCCAGCCTAAGTTTAAAGTTATCACGAAACCAAACCTACATTCCTCTGGATTTACCTTATTTTTTTTTTTTCCCAGTGCCAACAAGGTAAAGAGAGGATTCAAAGCCATCAACTTTGGAAAGTATGAATAGATGCTCCTGCATGACCAAGTCATTAACACTGCAGTTGGATGTTTTACAGCAGCAAAGAAGAGAGAACAGGTTCTTATCCATTGTGCAAAAAATTTCATTTCAGTGTGTCAGTGGCTTGATAGATGATGTAGAAGAAGCAAGGAAAAATCACAGGAGAAAAATCACAGGAGAAAGACATACGCAGAGGAAATTGAAAGCTTTAAAACACATTTCAAAAGGCTATCGCATCACTGTGTAAATGTAAGAGAGAGCTGAAATCATGGGACTTTTTAGGTGCAATCAGATATGCTTTTAAACAAATTACTTGGTCTTAGCCAAATATCTAAGATCATCTAAAGGTTCTCTCTTATTAACCTAACGTTCATATCAAGAAATTGTGTTTGTTCAACTCATCAGCATTTTTCTTTTGACAGTTATTGAACTCATTAGATTTATAATCATGCATGGAAATTAACCCATTCTGTGATGAATGTTCTATTACATATATTGAATAATAATTCAGTAACTACTAGGTGCTTTGCTATTTTACAGGCTGAATCTGAAGGAGTAATAAATTCAGCAGAAGCTATACATGTGAAAAAAGTATTTCTGCCTTCATCTGTGTTTGCCTATTTACTTAAACAACCTAATTCAGACTCCACTAAAGCTTTCCCAGGGGTATCATCTTAAGATGAAGCTTTCCCCCCAAGTTAAGATGATGCTTGCTTTTAGTTTAGATAACTTCAAAGAGATTTTCAGTGATACAGCAAAGTGATGTTGGTCTGAACTCTGAGTTCATCCCTTCTAATTTGCAAAAACAAAGTTACGTAACACCATAGCTACAAAGATTACTCATCAAACTACTGAAGTTAGATGAATATTGCAAAATCAGGTCATGCTAGTTCCAGGCAATCATTCTTTACATTTAATTTCCTGGTGCTTTGTTCCAGTTCACCTGCAATGTACTTCAAGTGCAATGTAAATCAGTAGAACAAATTTCAACCTCAATATCATTCTTTTGAGGGGGTTTTGTTTTTTTTTTTTAATTTTTTTTTTCTATCACTATTTGTATTTTGTATTTGTATTTGTATTCTCTCCCTTGTGTATTTTCTCTGAAAATTATCATCTAAACCTGTGACACAATGTAGTGAGACATGGTACCAAACATCTCTGGGACTAAAGGAAATGTACCTACAATAAGTCCTATATGTCCAACTGCTGTTCTCTTTAATAGTGCCCACACCACATTCTGAACAAATTTAGGAATCCTTTACAGGAGAAAATGAACATTTTAGCATTCATGGGCTGCTCAGAGTACCTTCTAAAGGCACTAAAAAATAACACTGAATAAAATGGCATAAACACATGAACAAACCAGGATTATTGTGAATTCAAAACTTTTGCTTATCTTCTGAAATAATATCTGAGCAAGATGAACACAGGAGCAGGCATTTCATGACAAGGTTTCATTCACCTGGGTGCCATCTGTGTCTGCTACAAGTCTCTAAATTATTCACATGAAAGTTTTAATACAGTTTTGAAGACCAATTATTATAAAATATAAATATGTTTGTATAAAATAAATTAATTTGTATTATTTTCAGCTAGTAAAAATGGGTTAAAGATATGAGTATTTATATACTATGCAAAGCCACAGGTCACAGTGTAAGATTTTTTTCCTCTTTCCTCCCATCTATTCAGTTTTCTCCCTGATAGTCAGAGACAAAGCGATGCATAAAAATGCAGTACCTCTGGTATTTTGACAAACTTTTTCTTGAATAGGTTCAAATACTTTCCCTTCTATTTAATTTATTTTCCTTCCCTGTGATTTAATTTCTTTTTGTTGGATGAGAAGTAGAAAAAGTGATGAAAGAGTAAGCATGAAGAAAATGCAAGGTGAAAAGAATGAAAACCTCAGCGATGCTCTGACAACATCTAGAGGGGTTAGCCCACAGCTGAGAAAGACACCCCAGATCCTCCTTAAGGCTACAGAAGCATTTTCTTCTTTAGCATTGGGAAAAGAATTCAACTACTCTGGGTCAGAATAACAGCACCTGACGAGTATTACACAAACAGAAAAATATCCTATTCACAAAATATTCACAAATAGAAAAATAAAGCAGAGATTTAGCTTTACAAGACTATGTAATTGCCTGAAAACTAGCTATTATGGGTGATGGCTTCATTCCTTAGCAGGAGGAAGCAATGTTTCTTTCATAAGCCTCTCTAAATCCATCAGATCAATAATGATGACACTAGTATCTCTATAGGTACATCAGACAAAATACATCAGTAATGATGATTACATCTCTTCCACTCATTTAGTATTATAATAGGAATAAAATCCATGTGCTGGAAGACTATCAAACTCACTGTCTCCAGTATGAAAATTACTGTATTGGTTTTTATGGAACAGGAGGGTGCTATGCTGAGGTCCTGCACTTTGCTATTTAAACTGTTCTATTATACAAAAATTTGCTGTTCTTAGTCTCAGTGGCATTCCATTGGTGACACTAAGTGCATGTTTATTTTTCAGTAAAACCCTCCTTTCACTGACAGAGAGCTGTCAAAAAGTTAACACATGCATCTGTGTAAAAAAACCCTAACAGATCATGTAAAATACCCCATATTCCAATCTGAAGAAGGATTTTAGTTAGTCATAAACAGACATCTTTTAACCAGCATATTATTTGCATGCACATGTTAAAGGCTTGAAGTTTCATTGTGGCAAAGAAACATTTCTATATTTAAAATGTACTTCAAGTCATTAATCCTGTCTACAAATACACCAAAGGTGCTCAGGGCAGAAGTGCCAAGAGGACCTACAATTCTTCTATTTTAGTGTTAGACTGAAAAATAGCTGTTTGAAATCCAGTTAAACCAGTCACTCTATTTCAATTCCGTAAACATTCTTTCATCAGAAGTTTAAATTAATCCATCCTAGATTTGGCATCACTCACACCAGCTGAACTGAGCTAAACACTCAGCAAAACTGTCACAGAATCATTTTGGCTGGGAAAACCCCTTGAAATCACTGAGTCCACCTGTTAACCTAGCACTGCCAAGCCCACCACTAAACCATGTCCCTAAGTACCACATCCACACATCTGTTAAATACCTTCAGGGATGGCAATTCAGTCACTTCCCCGGGCAGCCTGCTCCAATGTTCGACAACCCTTTCGGTGAAGAAACTTTTCCCTAATACCCAATCTAAACTTCCCCTGGTGCAACTTAAGGCCATTTCCTCTCATCCTATCACTTCTTACTTCTGAAAAGAGACTGACCCCCAACCTTGCTACATTGAAAAATAACCAAGTAAAAACTCAGGAACTGCTCAAAGGCAAAATTAAGAGAGAAAACAAGTAAATTTGGAGAAGCTCTAACACTGAGGCCAGTGTTACTTTGTGATGCATATGTAAACACTTCCTGAAAATAGATGCAAATGCCCTTGGTGATGAGGTGAGTTAGAGTGAAAGAGAATTCCTGTCTCTGCATCAAAAAAAATTTTACTCATTTGTTTTGCATTTGTTTAGTTTTTCTAAAGACTGTAAGAGGAGTAGAAGTCTCAGAGCTACTGAAACTGGATTTACTGTGCATACATAGAGAAAGAAAAGAAAGGACAAAAGATTGGTCCCTACCATCTCCAACAAACTGAAGGAGGGCTAGATCAATTTGTCTCTTCCAAGGTGATCCTTTCTGAAGTGCAATTCCATAGCCTGTAGTGGCAAAGATGTATCCACTCCCTATTGTGACAAGTTTGCAGCCTTCATCTCTTCCAGCCTTGTAGTTCAGCACTGCTGCATCATAGATGAAAGCATCCAACTTCCTGAAATAAAAGAAAGCATTTTACAAACCAAATCATTAGGTAAAGCTGTTGTCAGGCTTTTGTCCTTGATGTTAGCACCCTGTTAAATATCATATGGATTCTTTGATATCATTAATTACATATCCTGCTCTGCTGTATCTAAAATTAACAAAAGGCATCTATTTTAGTGAGAGAAAAGTAGGACACATAGTTTTGCATTTCTATTTTAGGGGATGCTGTTAAAAATACTGAGAAACAAAGCTACAGAATGTCTTGCCCTGTTATCTTTGCATCTTCGCTCTCAAAATGGGTAAGTACCTTGAGATGCAAAATTATTTCCAAAATCAACAGATATGAAAATGGAGACTTTAGAATTGAAACAATAACCAATTAGCTATTTAAAATAGTGAATGAGAATGAAAATGTGACTTCACCAGTTTGCCACAGACACTTACTTTATGTCTCTTTTCCAAAAATAGACAATGAAAGTGCAGGTTAAGCACTTGCTAATAGAGAGGAAGGTATTGGGGCACATCTGCTATCTAATCTTGCTTAAAAAATTATAGGAAGTATTTCTTTATGATTTGCAGTTGCAAACATATCATTTATGTACCTACAGAACACGAGGAATAAAGGAACATGTGGAAAAGTTCAACCCTTTCAGGTCATCTGTCTATAAATGTAAGAATGGGATAATCCCAGTCTCTCAGGTATGTAGAGAACACAATGAATAGAGGAAAACAAAGTCAGTAAGGAAAGGAAAAGAGGTGGGTTGTGTCCTTTTAAGAAGCACTGTAAAGTGAGATTTAGAAGAGATAGATGCATGGATATTTCACAAATGAAGCCACTAATGTGCATGTACAAGAAGAGGAGGCTATTTGCAAGGATAATCACTTGTCAGCTGTAGACCTTGATCAAAATATTATTCTACCTACAAAAATGCATTTGCAATCTTTGAAAGGAAAAAAAGATAAAACTTAAGTTTATTTTGCATTGCTGCCCTCTTCTGCATCCAAAACCTTTAAGATTTCTACCTCTTGCACAAGACTAGCAGAATACAGAGGCAATAGGAAAGCAGTATCATCTCAGCCGAAACCCCACCTAAATCATGCACTAAAACAAAGTTATCACATCCCCCAGTAACACACTGCTTTTTCAACATCTTTTCCCATCCCATAGGAGTCAGATGAATGGGAAGGATACAGCTACACAATCGGCTTCACAGGTTGTTCCCCTGCCACTCTGACTGGCCCTGCAGCTCCCCGGCACTGCCGTACCTTTGAGGAGCCACAAAGCATGACTGGGGAGCACCACTAAAGTTTGGATAAAAGAGTGGATAAAAACTACAGAGGCTGGCAAAGTACTGCTCGTAGCAATTGGGACCTCTCCTCATGGAAAGGGAATTAGAAAAATGAATTAATTGTGGCACAAACAACTACAACATCAACTTCAATTATATCAGTATGTACCAGTTGAGAATTCTGTTGCTATTGAAGTTTTGGAAACCACTAGCTTCAATTGGTTTAAATTGATAAAGCTTTTCATTTTTATCTAGAAGACAGAGCAAGACCTAGTCAGACCAGAGTTTGGCTACTGACAGGAAAAAAAATACTTTCACTCTTAACATCATTGCATGTTTGTTCTGAAACCATCAGTCATACAGAACCCAGCTTTTGCAGTAATCTACATGGGATAAAAAAATATGTGGCACTGAAACACACCCCTATCCATCTCATGTTAAACCAAGAGCAATACCAGGAGAGAGTGAGGTTGTTGGATTTTGTGTACTGTCATGAAAAAGTGAAGAGTGAAGGTCAAGTGACTATTTACCGTACTTTATTTCTTCCCTTCTAGGATACTTACCCCAAGGGTCACCATTGAAATCATCAAATTGGAATTTAGTGAAGTAGTTAATTTAGAGAAAGTACAGGTGGCTCATACAGCCATTAAAAGAAATAGCTGAGCCACCATTTCCTTTGTTTTTTCACTCTTCCCTGAAACTATTCCCTCAGCTTAAAACTCAGCAGAGCTCCATCAGTGCTAAAAGTCTGACTCCCTCCTTCTTTTAAGTGGTAATTTAACACAGAGAAAACAATTGCTAAACATCTGGTAGGTGATGTGTTGCTTATTCAATACAGAAATAAGATATGGATGGCTAGCTAGCACTGAGGCAACTAAACCGGAAATAGCCAAGAGGATGTTGGGTACTGCCCAAACTGCAGTCTTCAGCACAAGACCAGACAGTTTTCTAAATGACATGCTTTGATTCAGCACTTGGGAGGCAATCTTTGGTTTGTGTAGAAAGAAAGAGCAATCCACATCCTATGGGTAAGCCCACAAGAAAGTAAAAGAAAACTGTTTGTCATACCCTCAAGATATGTGTAACAGTTCTGCTCTACAGCAGACAATTGCCATAATCAATACAATACAATCTCATGCTTTTAGACCTCTACAGTTATCTGTGAGAAAGGTAGGATACTACCCATCTCAGTGGATGCCTTGGTTCAGGCAAGGGACTGGAATTTAATGTAGGCAGAGACACTGCTGCAACCAGCTGACCGAAGTTAAAATACACTCTAGAATCTGTCATCTGTTTATTATGGGATTCATAGTTTTGCAATGTCAGCATATAAAACACATGCTGGTAAACAGAAAAAAAATATGAAGAGACTCAGCTATTCTTCTATCAAAAACAGACTTAAGTCAGAAATACAGAGGGAAAAGATAACTTTGCTAAAGACTCCAGGGCAAAAAGCTTATGCTACCCCAGAACTCATGCTCTTCATGTGCAGCTTGCCTCCTTAGTTACTAAGCAGAGTAGTAAATTCTTGGGACAGAAAGACAAGGCACAATCAGTTTCACTCCCTCACTGTGGACCCACCTCCCCAGCTTCCCAGAGTCTCTCATCAGCTGCAATGGGTACCTACAAGGAAAGCAGGTTCTGAAGATAAAGAAGGCTTTATTTTTGATGGTTTTCTCTATGCTACTTCTATAAGGTCACAATAAATCTCATTACCAAATTGATTTAAAACATGACGCATTTTCTTGACAGATGCCGAGTGCTGAAAGGTTCTGCTATCAGTTGCTGCCCAATGTATGAATTGTAAATAAAAAAGTGGATTGGCCTCAAAAAGTCTTTCTGTCTACAAACTCATGTTCAGAATATATATTTCCAACATAAATCTTATAACCTCTCAATGTTATAATTACTCTCTGTAATCATCATGTGCTGATCACAGAAGTACTATTCCTTGCAAAGCCAAGCTTCAGAACATGATGTACCCTGCAGCGTGGGCAGGGAGTCACAAGCCATGACTGAAGCTCTTGGATGTTAGGGGACCCAACTCTTCCATCAGTAGGAGGTGAATTCCTGACATTCTAAGTTTTTAAGAACTTTCAGATAACTTTAAACATTCATTAATAAGACTTTCCAAAAACTGAGACGACAAAATCTGGGCAAATCTGAAATTTGACCCTTTCCATGTTTGCAAAGCTGGCAGTAAGCAAAAGGTCTGGAAGCAGACAATGCAGGCATTTGCACAGGGCAGCAGGCTGCTGGGGCTACAGAGGAATTCCCTTCCTTCTGTGTCTATCTGGGAAAAGATACATCTGCTGTTTTGCTTCGCACTGACAGAAGAACCAGGCTGTGCATACGGCAGTGACTGCGGGACACAGTAGCCCATCTCTGTCTTGTGATTCTCAAGGCAGGTCTGGCAAGCCTGGATGTGTGCTCCACTCACCCCTTCCTTCTTTCTCTCTTTTTTCTGGTAAGCCCCAGCATCTTTGTCCTTGTGGCAGTAAATTCATCTGTGCTAGACAACTAAGAAGCTCTGCATTGGTTTGAGCACTGACCTCTCTGCTATTTAAGCTATAGAAGTGGAACGGCTTACAGGCACCAAGTACAGCACCCCACGTCAAGAAAGGCTCAAAGACTCTTGCAAACCATAGTCATGTAAAATGGAATCAATCAATTTGTCATTTCAGTGCAGCCACTTCAGGGGGCAAAAAGCTTTGCCACATTGTGTAGGTTTATATATACTGCTAAGAATTATTAGAAGGATGAAAGAAAACTACAGAAACTGGAATGCAGCAAGAAACAAGATTTGTAACTGCCATGAAGTAGCCAAATGCATCAGGCATCTGTAATGAATGCAGAGGAACAGAACTATAGTGTTATGAGTCATCTGAGCAACTGGCAGGTTTGTAAACTTCCTTGAAATTACTGCAATAATACTGGGTAGGAGGGAAAATAAACATTTTGGAATATCTATATGAGAGTACAAAGGCAAATGTCTTTCATTACCTAGCAAGCACAAAAAGGAAAGGGGTTAGGGAGAATTTTAGCTCACACAAAATAGGACAACATCAGGTGTTACAAAATTATGAATTGTAATAGTTCTAAAAATAACCAAAAGTGCATTACTGAATGTAATAACTTGAAGTGGGAGATCTATGAAAAAAAGATGTGGACAGTGTCATACCTAAACATTTATGAGAAACCAAGAAGTGTAAGAGCTGAGAAATCAGAATAGCTACTGCAAAAAAACATTATCTAAAGTGTTGCTGTACACATGCAAAAATGTAAAAACCTTTGTAAAGAAAATTAAAGTCAGAGGAAAAGGTATAGAAAAGTAATTTCAGAAAAGCTGAAATACTTCCCTATAGTTTCCCCTGTCTTTTTATTGGCTCGTACTTATCATCAAATTCCTATGATAAAATAGGAAAGCAGGGTTAGGAAAATGGTCCTTTATTAGTCATTGTTTCTTCCTCCACAGCAGAAGTATAGCTCACTTAGAAAGTATTACTTTGCTTTCTTAACCAACTACATGACCCTCCACCAAGTTTGTTTTCTTGATGGAACAACAGGGAAAATGGCAGTCTGCTCAGTAGTCTGGAGAAAAAAACAGTAATGCAGCACACCAGAAATTCATCTCTTTCAGTTACTTTGTGTCCTGCTATGACATATGCGATAGAATTCAGAAAATGAGAGGGATGCTTTAATGCAGTCCTCTTTATTCACG